GATGTGAAAATGAGCTGAATAGTTCAGTGAGGAGGTTTACCTTGAAGGAAGGTGATGACAAAGTTACAAGTAAGCTTGTAACTTACTTGTTACAAGTAAGAGAGCATTCACTGCTCACTGCCCCTTTGGAAGCAAGCACATTTAGGTGCAGTTTCGTGGCATCCATAAAACACAGTACAGCACAAATAGAGTTAGTGATAACTGATGGTGCAGAAATTCAGCTACTGTTGCTAAAGTGTTACTGAGGCATTTATTTAGCTGCTCAGGGACAACTCTCATTTTTTTTAAAATGTAAGTTTGTGTCACTTTCAGATTACTGAGCAGATGTTACAATGTAGTAGTAACTTCTATACCCTGGAGTTATGTTTGTTACAGTTACTTTCCTTTTCTTACCTGTGTAAGAAAGGACAGAACTTGAGGTATTCAGAGTTTAAGGGTCTGTTTTGAGACAAAGCAGCTCTCAAGCCATGTGAGCGAGAGAGCTGTAAACACTCAAAGCACGAGTCAAGAGTCACATGATACTTAAAACTACTGTGGGCTGTAAGACCATGTTTGAGAAACTGGTGTTAGCGCTGCACTTGTTTATTTTCTAGATATTCTCACTGTAACCGTCGTTGGACTTAGTTGTGCATTCAGAAATCCTTGAATAATTTGAGTGGTGAACCTTCTAAAGATGAGGAAAACAATATTTTTGATTTGAAATGCAAAGATTTTATAGTGCATTTTGATTTGCTTTTTCAGCAAACCTCCTCTCTCTGGGTCACCATGTTCTTTCCTGGGGTGTGAGTGACCCAATACAAACTGGTGACCCAGAGCAGACAGGTTTCTGTTGATTTGCCTCTGGACACTGTCAAAACATGAAAAATCTGCTAATTAAACTGGGGTGTGTTTGCTTCTGATGACAGACCAAAGATACTGGTTCTCAGTTAGGATATAAAACCAGAAAGTCCATTGCCAAAGAGACAGGCTGTGCAAGTGGGTTTGATGTTGATGGAATCTGGTGGCAGCTTGAGGAGTTTGCTCTGAGTTGTCACCAAAGCATGTGACAGCACAGGCAGCCCCAGTGCAGGCTGGGCTGTGCTCCCTGAGTGCTCTGGGGAAGTGTGAATGGTACCAAAAGGTCTTGCAGGACTCAAAATCCATTTTCTTGGTGTGGTGCAGAAAAACCTTCAGAACTGCTGTACGTGCTGTGTTATGGAAATCACTGAGGACACTCTACAGCCAGTTAGAAAGTCTATGAATAGCTTTGCTGCCAGCAAGGAACTTGTTAATGGGAGAAAGCAAAGGACTTTGTTTTGTCCACCTTTTTCTTAAAGCCCATCATAGAACTCTCATCACTGTAATCTGAAGCCAAAGTGTTCAAACTACTCATTAGCTTGTAATTGTCATTGGTAAAAGAGCTGTTGTTTATAGAGATTTTTGTTCAGCTGAAGGATGGAGTTAAAGCTTTAATGGGATATTGATCCAACATTTGGGAGTGCAGTTAAGCAATATGGCATGATAATATGGGGAAATGTTCTCGAAAGACCTAGAGTTTAGAGAGAGTAGGAAAGGAATTAATTTAGTTTCTGGAAATGGTGATAGATGTGTTAGAACAAATGGTTCCCTTTGCACGGGAATGGGAACTTACTTCTGTGTTCTGCCCAGCATGGATTAAAGGTGGAGGAAGCTACACATATTGATTAAATAGACATGGGGGCTTGCAGTTAATCAAATATTTGTTTGGCTGAGGTCATATTCAGTTCATTGCCCTAATTATTAGAGAACATATTTTCAGCAAATCTGTCATATTATCTTTTAGTATGAAAGTAGAGCAAAACAAATGTGAGTTACCATTTGGTGGCAGTTTTTTTAACATCCCTATTTTGCTGGTTTATGCCAGTTGCTGTGTATTCAAATGTACACCCTTTGAAATGTTAGAATGTGCACTGACCCATGCTCAGCTAACACAGAAGTCTCAGCTGTTTAACTGTTAAAAGAACGATGAGAATACAATCAGAAACATGATTGTTAAAAATGCTAAGCTACACTTGATTTTTTCCTTGTATGTTATTCCCCCATTTAACTTCTTTTTTAAAAAGTTCTCAGATTAAAAAGAAAGAAAATCAAGAGTATTTCTTAGCACCATCCTGACCACACTGTAAACATTTATCTTGCAGAGCCATAAGTGTGATACTTGGGGACAGGTGGAAGAAGATGAAAAATGAGGAAAGACGGATGTACACACTAGAAGCCAAGGCCCTGGCAGAAGAGCAGAAACGTTTAAATCCTGACTGTTGGAAAAGAAAACGAACAAATTCTGTATGTTTGTGAAGCAGCCTTTTTCACTACGCACTTACATGTGTTTGTACAGGTAGCTGCAGTGGCGTTTGTGCAGTATAAGCTGCATTCTTGGTAGCCCAAACCTTCTTCAGGAGAGGGTTTGTCTCTGAGTATTTTATGAGAGTTTTGTGAATTCTGCTGGACTGAGAAGTGAATGTGCTGTGGAGGAAGGGCACATGACCTTTTGTTCAAAGTAACTGAGCTTATAAGGTTGTACCTAAATTTTTTTTGCTCAGTAAAAGCTTTTTCTTTAGCTTTTTCTATTTTTTTACACCTTATTTATACCAGCATATATGAAGATATCGAGGGAGCAAAATAATTTTTTCCTGGTGAATCCCTTTGATTTATGACTGTGTTTAATTGTAAAATAAATACAGTAGATAACACTACTTCTGTAGGGAAATAAATTGTTTTCCACTTTGTAGAAAGCCATCAATCTAAGATTGTAGGTGTGGATTAGTAGGTGGTGGATGTATTAAGAAAGAGAATGACTTTCAAGCTGAACCATCATGTAAAGCGAACATCAAAAAAAAGGAGATTCAGCTTGTTCAACCAGAGGAGTAGGTTGGAAGGAGAGATCACTGAGGTGCACAGAATGCCAAGTCCTTTCATCAGCCATTTTATGCCTGGGCAGGAGCTTGAAGTGTGGTGTGGACTTCATCTGCATGGTTGATGAAACCATCCATGTGGTGTAAGATTTCATCCTCAAGTTACCCCCTTTCCTTTCATGTGTAAATGAGGCTGCTTTCTCTAGAGCATATGCAAGTGTTGCCTTAAGACTGAATAAGAACTGTTCCTACACTTAAGTTGCTTCTTTCTGCTGTACATTGTGCTGAGTTTCCAGTCCCTTGTTGCACAAGGTTCCACCAAATCCCAGCTGCTAGGAAAAAGCTGGTTTTCTGTTCACTGCATTCTGTTTTTATCAACAGTGTCATCTTTTGTTAGATTTCCATGTGGGTTTAGTTAAAATACTACTCCTTACTTTTTCTGCTTTTACACTACTGTAGTCTTGGGCTTTGGATGGTGAGATCACAGACTCACTCACCTGTGAGCTTCAGGCAACTCAGAGGCATTTCTGTGTAGCTGAGAGGAGTGATGAGATGGCTTTCTTACACTGCCTTGTAGTAGGATTTTCCTTGTCCTTAGGGGCTTCAGGCCAAAGGAACAGGATCTGTGGAACCTCATTTTTACATCAGGAAATGCCTTTTTAAATTGTATTAGTTTGGTGAACTGAACTGTTTGCAGCTTGGTTACCTTACTAAGTAATGACTGGTTGACTCCAGGCTGTGACAGAGAAGTCTTGATCTCTGGTTTTGGCCTTTTTGTTTCCTTCTAAATAACTGACCAATGAAAAGTACTTGTGGCTTTCACACCAAGTTGTTTTCTACTTTTAAGGTAAGATCTGCTTCCCCTTTGCTTGGTAACTGCTAACCTCGTTTTCTCTTCTCTTTTCTCAGGGCTCACAACAGCATTAAGCCAGAATTTTTCTGTTAACTCTGTATTTGCAAAATGGCTGTTGCTCAATGGCAAGAAGATGCAAGATCAAGGTCTTACTATTTGTTGTAACTCTGTGTGACCGTAAAATACTGGCACCATCAAGTCGGAAATGATCTGAGTGCAGATTTGCTTTTTACAATAGAACATTAAGTAAGCTAAAACTATCAGCATTTTAAACCAAATTGCCTTATTTTTCTTCCAAACTTCATATATGTATCAGGTAATATAGGCTTGAAAATGGATATCCTGTGGTGCTAAAGTACTTTAGAAAGAGGCGAAGGAGATGTGTATAAATGTTTATTTTTAAAAGAAAATGTACAAAAAGGGGAATTTTAAAATATGTAACAGCTGTTTATATACATTGATTCTTATTGCTAATTAATATGTATTGCACAACCGTATTATTAATTGCAATTTTGGGGCCTGGGGTTTTCTGAAATGGCAAAGTGTATTATCAGCCTCCAGCTTCCCAGCCTGCCCCGCTGCCAGCAAGTTACCAGGACACGTGGGAATGGAGAGCGTGGTGTGATGTAGCAAAGGAGCCGCTGCTTGGGATGCCACTTACAAAACCTGTATCCACAAGGGAGATATTTTTGCATCAGCTGGCACTACTGAGAGCTGTCATTTCATGGTGAGAACAATGGCCTGGGACAGGATGAAATGAAAAAATAGCGTTATCTCAAGAAAAATGGTGCTGTTGATACCATCACCATCATACTTATAACTCTGTGTTTTGTCTTTGCCACGTATTCTACAATATTTTATTTTGCCATAAGACATCTTTATGGTGGGGGCAAACTTTGCACTTAACTATACGTGCAACACTTGCACTTTACTTTTTTTTTCTCCTCCAACTGTCTAAAATTAGAGCAGCTGCATTAGGGTTACAATTTGCTTCTGCTGTGAACTTTTACAATCATGGCTTTTCCTGTACTAAACAGCTGTGCGTTGGTTTCTTTTTTTTTTTTTTAAGAATCACAACTGTAAATTTCAGTTTATGACACGTCTACATGATGTTGCCCCTAAGATTTTTGCACACTATATTCTTGTATATTATTTCAAATAAATTCATTAAAATTTGGTGTTGCGTATTTTATAAAATGAAGACTAATCACTAAGTCATCCCTGCAGCAATGAGCATGTTCTGCGTGGAAGTCTTTACGTGAACCCATCCAAAGTGTATTTTTATGCTTTGCCATTAGGAAGATGCTGAAGAATTTCAAATACCGATTTCGGGATTGGATAGTCAATGTTCTTTATTACAGTTTAAGCAAAAAGAGAGTGGAAATAAATATAAATCATTTCTAAGCAAGTAGCAGTGCAGTAGGGAATCATTTAGGTTAGTTATAAATATTTTTCCTTCTGTTAAAATTAGTGATTTTTAGATGGAAACTGATGATTCTAGCATTTCAGAAGTTCAGTTTTCTGAATAAGGCCAAAATGTATCCAACTGTTTTAAAACTCTACTTGTAGGAAAAGAGCTGCTTCCTTATTTGAGATATTCAGCAATTATACTGTAATATTTGAGTTCTAATTTTACACTTTTCTAAATTCAAAAGGAATGCTTAAGAATGTTTCAATTAGATGCAGACTTACAGCACAAAGAAGTTGTACGATTTCCTTATAATATTTCTGTATAAGTTCCTGTAATGGGAAAGTAAAGCAAGAAGACAAGTTTCAGAGACGAAGTAGGTAAACACGTTTCACTGTAAAGCTTCTGTATTTGGGAATAATGTACAAGAACCGTAAAAACATTTGTGGCACCAAAGACGCCTGACTGTGAACGTGTCCATTCCGTATGTCGAGAGTGTTATCCAGGTGTGCTCACTGAAGGGTTGACATGGCTTTCTGCAGCAGCTGAACCATTATGGGGTAGACTGGTGCAAACTCCTTCCCCTCTCTCGTTCTGACTGATTGAACGTAAGCTTCCAGTGCACCACTGAAAAAAAAAAGAGTAGCTAAAGCAATTAAGTATTGTAAATTCAGGATCTGCAACTGAAATTAATTGCCTTCTTCCCTCCTGCAGAATTTTCATCAGATGGTCCTTACTTGTCTCTGTGGAAGGAAGTGAGCAAGAAAGGCCTTGCAAAGCTCTACATAATTGTTTCATGATCTTTCTCTCCTTTCTTGCATGTTTTGAAGAGCAAACAAGTTAACATATAAATAAGCAGCAGCACGTTGCAGATGGCTTGAAATGACAGCTCTGACGCACAGACTCGGGCACAGTGGCAACCTTTAGAAAGGGAGAGAACAGTCCCCAGCTGCTGCAGACGCCGAGAGTGCAACTTGGAGCATGAAAACTGGGGCACTGGTGAACAACTGCAGTGCCCTCGGGTGATTCCCCGGCACAGCCTCTTGACCCGCCGCGGCCCGCGGGGAAGCGCTGCGCTAACCACAGCCAGCCTGCGTGCGAGGTGCAGCTTGGATGTGGCTTTCTCAGACCTTGTCACAGGGTGTCACCCACAGAGTCCTCTGCTGGGAGCTGCACAAATAAAACACTGCAAAGCTAAAAGGGGCAACTGATGACGTCTGTACATAATTTAACTTGCTTTACAACACAGGGCCACCTTTTAGCTAATGTTCTAGTACACAGTATTGTTGAATGACAGCATATCTGTAAAACAAAGACTTTGCTGATCTGTTCACATTCCAACTTACTGTCTCATTAAGTAGGCCAAGTTAGTCTTGTCACACATAAATATGACTTCTAATTGAATTTTCCTCTCCTTTTCTGCTTCTGTTTCTTCATGTAACAGATAAAATATCTTGGAGTTTTCTTATAAAACTTTTTTTATATTTGTGCTATTTACAGCAAAACTCTAGCATTAGGAAAACACATGCACAAACCACAGACCCCACTTCAAGTTGAGACTTAAGACAGCTCCTGGTACTCGGCTGTTCCTGTTCTGGTTGGTGACAGCTGCAGTGCTAATACAGAGCGTCATCACAGCCCTTCCCAGGCACTGTCCCACAGGGCAAACGTCACTCTGGGTCACTGAGTGGGGACATTCCTGGGTTTTGTCACCTGCATTCCTTCATGGATGTGCAGGACACACCAGCACAGCTGCTCTGCCAGGGAGCGGGCCTGGCTTTTGGTAACACAGCAGGACCATTCCCAGTCCCACTGTGGGAAGGCAGGTGGTGGTCATGCACATCTGGTGAAGGGAGCGGGGGACACAGGGGTTAAGGGAGATGGTAACACAGAGCAACTGCAGTGTCGTGCCTATAAATACACACAAACTGCTGGAGGATTGTAGGGTGTTGAGGCAGAGCAGGAACTTATGTTTGCTGCTACTCCCAAAAGATGAGCCTTTGGTGAAACACTGCATTCCCACCCAAAGGGTTCATGGACTGAAGGCAGCACTGCTCACCCATACGTGCCTGCTGGCAGCTGGAGGCAATAAGCAGTAAGTAGGCATTTAATTAGGCAAGGCTTAAGGAAAGCAGAAGCACTAAAGAGTGAGATTCAGCCCATGTTTCACACATACAGAGGCTCTTAGTGGAGTAAGATGTTACGAGAGGAGCGGGCAAGATCCCTGTGTGGTGCTGCAGCTCTGGGTAGGGTCAGATGAGCCCACCAAACCTGGCAAAGCAGAGGAGATGGAAGGAGGATGCAGGGTCGCAATACATTTGGTTGCCTGTGAGTAAAGCTATTGCTAAATCAGCAAGGGCTTGACCCTTCCTCAATGAGTCAAACCCATCCGTGTCAGAGCACTGCTGGGAATTTCCAGCAAAGTTCAGTTATTAGTAAGTGGAAGATGCTCCTGAGGCCAAGAGCCTGTGCTCAGTTTGCTGGAGAGAGGAGTCTGAGCTTTGCGTTCCGAGAAGCAGTGACAGCAATGACAGCCCAGCCCCACGAGCTGGTCCTGGGGCTGCACCCACTCCTGCCAGCACTTCCCATCCCCATCAAATCCAGGCACTGATCCATCAGCCTCACTGTCAGAGCACAACAGGAGGAGCTGGGTGTCCCCTCGTGCATTCCCTGCTAATGGAGTTTGACAGGGAGAGAGTGAAGCAACTGTGCAACCAAAGAACCCGAGGCAGCTTTTCTTCCAAGCACGGGATGGAAATGAAACAAGCACAGGCACAAGGAGCTGCCCACCACCCACCACAGCTCCTGACACACCCAGGCAGCAGCTGGGCTTCAGAGTCCCTCTTGGCTAAAGCCCAGGGCATACTGTCTGAAACTGAAGGGATGCAAAAGGAGGATGGACTGGATTTCTGGAGAGTTGAGAGCTTCAGAAGAATAAAGTGACTGAGCACCGAAACAGTACCTATTGTTGTCCTTAGTGCACTTGAGAGCTGCTCTACAGTTTTGATAACTTACTAGTGAGCTACTGCTGCGGGGTCCACCCCAGGTAACAACTCATTGTGAGGAGTCACTGAATTTTTTGCAAATGAACAAACAGCAAGAGAGAAGCAATCCCTTGTTGCACCCAGAAAGGCAGGGAAAGAATATTTATTTTATCTAGCCAAAATAAAGCTTTTTGCACCTGGCCAGCTCCCTGCAAACCTTCAGCCTGCTCCTTCCCAATGGTCCCTGGGGAGCAGCACAGGGTCTACAGGGAAAGAAGCAACAACTAAAAAACTGCTTGCTGCATCCACAAAGTGCTTTGGGTGCAGCTCACCTCACTCTCAGCAAAGGCCATCAGCACAACAAACGGCAGAGAAATTATGCACATCCACAGGTACATTTTAAATCTCGAGATTTAAAGAGAAGAAGTAGACTGGGGGAATGGAACATCAGGAGAGTGTGCTTTTTACATGAACTGGCCTCTAGTGGCAATCAAGTGATGAGCAAACTGAGCAGCAGGTGGGAGATGGAGGCAAAGAAGGCTCAAGGATGCCATCACGATGAGGGGAGATGCTTCAGAAAGAGTCAGAGGTGCTTCACATTTCCACTCAGGTCAGCAATCAAGTACTCTGGTCACCAGTTATCAGTAAACATGTTAGATGTTAGTTAGTTGCTACAAAGAATGGTCCCTTGCATTAAAAAAAGAGTTGAGAAACTCCTGTGACAGTTTTCTTACTGTAACTGGCATTCATCTTGCTAAATCTTTCCCCTTTCACTCACCAGGGTCCCTGTCTTTTCCTTTCTATACACTCTTCAAAGTTTGTTGTGCCCAAATAGTTTTTTGAAGTCATCAAAAGCTGAAAATAGAATAAACATATTGACCTGCTTAACTTAGAAAGCTCTGACACCTCTTGGTGAAGTTGTGGGTTGGCATCATTATCCAGATGGTAACACTGCTATCCCTCTCTGACTTATCTCCTTGCTTTGAAAAAGCCCTTGAAAAAGATTACAGAGATAACCAGAGAGATGAAAGGGAGAAGCTTTACCCTAAAAGCAGCACCCAAAACCACTCAATGTCAGCCCTTGATAATCCTTAGCCAGACTGTTATTCCCATCAGATCAAACAAGATGCAATGAGATTTAGGCTACTCTAAGTGCCAAACCCCAGTATTAGAGTCCCACTGTCACACCCTCCAGCAGCTTTTAAGTTTTTTTTTCCTTCTCTCCTGCCTCAAAAGAATCTGATTTAACTGGCAAAACCAAGTTCAACAGTGGCAGCCACTGTCCTCTTACAACTTAAAAATCAGCTCAAAGGAATTGTTTGGTGACCTCAGAACTGCCCAGATCCTTCTCCAAGAGCTGACAGAAGTTGTCTTTGTCTCTTTGAAACAATGCAAGCAAAGCGACAGTAAAAGAGCAAGTGCAGCAGAAGGGAGCTGACAGAGTCAAACTTCAACAATATGACCTACCCAGGAGCATTTTAACTAATTCTCTTACCCACTCAAAAAAACAACCAGTAATTACAGCTCCATCAATACAATAAGGTGAGTTCTCAAGCATTTTTCTAAAACAGACCTTGTACATATTTGCACCAAACAATGAAAATAAAAGCTTTCTGAATACTCTAACTGCATTCACTATTTTCCTGTGTCCCACACTTGCACGTCCAATAAAAGTATTTAAACACTCTGAAGCTGAATGTTAAAAAGCCATTCACTATCAGTAACTTTACCTGAAGCACTGAAAGAACAGTGTTTTCAGTGAGGTGAACTGGCCTAGAGTGCTCCCTGCTCCCATATGGGCAGGTGTAGGAAAGCAGCTGAGGGGCCTCACACTGAGTGGGAGGATGAAAATCTGCTGCAGCTGCTGAAGGTTGGGAGTGAAGAGGCAGTGCAGTCACCTGAAGCTCCACACCCTTCCTGGTGACAAGGGAACCACGATCGAGCTCAGGAAACTCTTTTGCATCGGCTGCCTGTGTTAGTGGCACCAAGGTGGAAGGCCAGGAAGTCTGTCCACCCTGTTAGGAACAACATCCTGGTAACAAAAGGTCCAGGTAATAAAATGGCACAAATCACGAATCCAGGGAGAAAGGATGTTTGGAGTCCACAGAAGAATGGTGAGGTTGCTTCAGAGTGAGAGGGAGGAGTGGGCTGGGAGGGGTAACTGAAGACAGCAGTGGTCAATAGAGTATACATGATTCCAGAAGTTCATTTGGGATGGGAGTTTTGTTTCTCTGAAGACAGTTACCAAGTCTTAAGGGAGGGATTTTGGGACTGCAACACAGAGGAGCATCGACAGTGCAGGAAGTTGTTTATGACAAAGCAAGATGGGCTGGCTGAGCTGGGCGACTTGGAACAGTACACATCACTGGAGGTGTTGAAATACCTACCTGACTGTACCTCATTTGGGGACATAAATGAGTTTAAAGGCTTTAACACTTGAAATGCAGAATTTACGATGAAATTTTTGTAAACTTAACCACTCCTAGCTCAAAGAAGCTGTTGTAAACATGCTGGCAGTACAGAATTCAATTCAGATGCATCAGTTTAGCATTAAAATCTTGTCTTTAAAAAGGTAGGCTCACTCCTGCAGAGGACACAGTAAAAACACCAGTGCCTGAGTAGTTGTGGAAAAATAAACAGCACCATGGGTGAAAGCAGTATCATCAGGTCTCCAGCACAGAAAAGATCACAGCTGTTGTCATATAAAAAGATGTAATTTATAGTTCTATTATCGATGTTTAAGATGGAAGAAACCCTGTTTATGTAATATACAAAACATACTCTTGAAGGGATTAGACTAAATAATGCCCTAAATTCAGCATCTTCCAGTCTAATAGAGGACATAAAACCTGTTCAGCAATCTGTTTCTATTTTAAAAGACAAGCTATGGTATACATTACAAATATTGTTTGTAAAAGAGAGCCATAGAAAGAGGGTTGGTGGGATGTTCTGCATATATTAATGCTTCATTAAAAATGCCATAAGAAGTAAGGAAAAAAAAAAAAACCCTAAGTTTAAGATGCCCTCCCACATAAGGAAAAGGATTTTAAAGCACTTATTAAATTACTTCACTTGCATGAGCAAAACCATGAGCTTTCTTGGAAATCAGGACAAGCTGATTATATAAGACCCAGATAGTTCTTCTTTAAAATGTTATTTCAACCCATGAAGATTTATATCTACAGTTAAAAGGGGGAAAAAAAGGACGATTTGGGTTGTGGCTCTTAAGGGATCTTAATGCATATCATTTAGAATTACTCTAATTAATTAGTTTTATATGGCATCATGAATACTAACGCTGCCCTCCTGGGCTCTGCCTCAGTCAAACAGAGCCTGATTTACACTGGGGGCTTTGGAGGAGGCAGGGATCATCTTCCTGCCCAGCAGAGGGGTAGTAACCCTGTGCATTCCTGTCCCAAACCATCAGCAGAGCAGCTGAACACCAGGGCCAGACTTTTCTTTAATACTTTGTTCAAAGTCCGTTTGCTCTGCAAACTTCAGGGCAGAGCAGAAAATGGGCAAAACGCTGTGTAAGAGCACATCTGCCTGACACCAGGTCTATTTAATCCAGTGCTATAAAAATTACTGTAAAAATGGACAACAAGTAAAATCTCCAACAGCATCACCCGCAGGACAACAGACCAGACCGGCAGGGAGCATCTCCGGGTTACTCCAGAGTGCACAATAAAGAGATCAGAGGACCGACAGACAAGCCTCAGAGCCGCCGAGGGTTTTTAATGAATGGGCTGGCGCTGGCCCGGGGCGCTCGGAGGCGCCGGCAGGCTCGGCCACCCCGCCTGGCCGCTCTCGCTCGGTGTGAGCAGAGCACCGACCCAGCGCGGCTCTGCTGCTCCTGGCGAAGCTGTCGGGCTGCTGCGCCCACTGGGACTGGACCGAGTGCACAGATGGGGCTTTCGTGGTGGCCCACGAGCTGGCACTTGTTCTGCCCCTGGCTGGTTAGTGGTCAGAGTCACTCTCCGGATCAGGACATCAGCTCGTTATGAAAATGAACCCTTCACTGGGACTGCCTTTCCACTCTGCTCCAGCAAGGGTGAGCTTCAGTAAGGGGACTTAACCCACACCATAATGGTAAAGGTAAGAAAGTGGCTCTTGAATGGATAAACTATCCTTTAGGCTGGCTCAAATCCTGCCACATCTAATAGGGTTTCTTTTATGGAAGAAAGATTGAATTTTCAAGCTTAATTTGAAAAGAAGAAAATGCCCTGGCCACCTCAAGAAGTGCTTCTTTCAACACAATCACTGCTCAGGTAGGATGCCTGCAGCAGGGTCATCTCACCTAACTTTAAGTGTCTGCAGGGCAACTGGCTGCCAGAGAGAGCTCCTGTGTCCCAGCCCTCACTCCCGTCACTGAACAGAGAAAATGGAGCTTTCAGACACAATGCAACTGACCTATTTTAGGTACCCGCTTCAGGATGAGATGAATCAGCCCCAGCAGCACCTGTTTCTCTCTGTTGACCATAAAGGGAGGCTAGGAAATATACCTCTGGCCAGGTAAATCCCACCCTTTGTGCTGGATACAAGCAGAAAGAAAGGCACAGAAATGCTCAGAATGGTACTAATTCATACCATTCACACCATGCTGCAAGTGAAGCATTTAAGACCCACAGAGAGGAAGAAGCACTCCAATTAGCTTTAATATGAAGCTGTAAGGATCCTGGTAACACAAGTAAATTAATATCTAAGCAGTAGGTCCCTAGAGTAATTGCACAGTTGTTACAAAGGGAAGTTGCAGAAAATTACCATTTGCAAGGTTGCAGCAAACATGAGATAATATCTTGATGTAGTGCAGTGCAGGAATCCGAAGGCTCCAAACATCTGAAGTTCAATTAGCACAGCTGAACTACTACAGGCAGAAAAAGCTTGAAGAGAGTGACTGATAAAAGATCAAGACTTTTGTAGTTCAACTCAGGTTCATATGAGACACACAAAGAGCAGGCTCAGAAGTCTCCCAACAGAATATTAAAGAAAATATGAGTGAGACATGGTCATACCCGTGACTGATGTTTGCTCTCCTGTCTTACATATGGATAACCAGCCTGTTTAGAAATGCCTTATAGGCACGAGAGGAGACAGTGAAAAGAAGAGTGCACACAGCAGTGCCTACAGAGGTGACTGGTGTCTGCAAAGGAGAACCATCCCCTTCCTTCATTGCATCCCAGTGCTGGCCAGCCCCAGATCCTTGCTCCCAGACTGCAGTGCTACAGGAGCTGCCAACTAAAACACCCTAGGGATGAGTCTGCTGGACAAACCCAGTGCAGTTAATTCATGTGGCTCAACTGAGCTGCAGGAGTGGAGGCAGCAAGAGCTGAGCTGCAGATGGATGGAGCAGCAGTCCAGCACAGGCAGTGACAAACAGCCTAGCTCTGGCATAGCAAGAGGAGGGAAGAGCCACTGGAGGCCTTTGTGAAGGGTAGGTCTTCAGAGCTGCCCTCTCCATGCCCTGGGACAACAGATGTCCCAGCAGTGTCTGAGCACTCCACAGTGCGAAGCAAAGGAACCACAGCCTCACTGCAAAATGCTCGGGTGATATAACCTGGCCAAGTGATAACCTTGTAGCAGCACATTATTGAGATTACAAAGTTAAAATATTTTAATAGTGGTATCTCGAGCAAAATGAATACAAGATTCAATGAAAGGATTGAAAGGAAAAACTTAAGTATTCCAGTATTCATTGCTTGGTCTGAAGGATGTCACTGCCTCTGCCTAAAACCATTGTCCCAAGGTTTTTCCCTTAATACCTCCGTGGTCACAGAAATTTATCAGTGTCTGAACATGACCACCAGCAAGCCCATTAACTGAATCAGTCTGGATGAAATTTAATTGCAAGCAAAGACAAAAATCTGTGGCAATTTAAGGATGGCATTTTCAAATTTGTGAAAAAGAACTGAAGAGAACAAAACCTCATCAGTTCTCAAATGATTTGCATTTTTGGCTTTCTGCAATATATCTGAAATTCAACATTTCCAGTTTTGTCAGTACTATAAGGATAGAAATTACAATCAAAATATTTATAACTAATTACATATACAGCTCTATCAGCCCTGTACCTATTACCTATGCCCCTGTAATTCAAGGTGTCATGGCTGGAGACTCAAGAAAACCTACTTTTGTAGACAAACTAGACTAACAACATGTATGGTTTTCAAAAAAATACACGTATGAAGAGACACCATTTATATTCTATTATTTCAGAAATAAATCTACAAACATCTACTGGTGATCAACCAGTATTTCCTTAACTGGCCCAATCTCTGCATGGGACTGTATGGTGCTATCATCTTCAGGAACTGTAAATATTTATAGCAGACTCCTCTTGGCTGCCTCAGAAGTGTGGACAGATAACGGTTGACTTTCTCAGGCACAACCATTGCTGGCTGGAACTTAAAAGTCAGCTTCTCTCACTTCAGCAAAAGCTGGCAACATCCACGCACAGAAGTTCAAGGACAGAGCAGGCTCCCAGGCCAGATGGAGCCTGGTGCAGCGATGTGTGACAGCCTTTCCCATCCCGCTGGAGTGGGTGACGCTGAGGTCACTGAGAAGGTGGCTGGAAAATTTAGGGCATTAGGAGCCAAATGATCACCTGAGCCTTGAATCTTGAGGATCCCCAGGCTGGCTCTGCTCACATACATACAACTCATCTGTTCTCTCTTAACATACTTCAAAAATCTGCTTGTTTTTAAAAACAAGACTCTTCTAACTTTTCCTAACATTTTAAGATGCAAAATAGTATTTAGCTATAAAGCAAGATTTTAAAAATCTGATGTAATTGTCACTTCCCTGTGAATCATGGGCTGATTTCCTGAAGAGTAACATTACAGGGGTGTAACAAGGGTCTCCCATTTTTAGATTTCTACCTACATTGACACTGGTTAAGCTTTCAAAGCTTCTCCTTCCTTATACAGAAGAGAGGACAGCTGCAGTCTTGACTTTCCAACAGTTAGAGAGGGAGGCAGTTTTGCTAAAACTCAGTATTAATTTAAACCTTCATTGTGCCTGGCTTCCTTCTTTTGCAAGAGGAGTATGTGCTCTTTATGAAAGCACTGGAGGGCTTGGGTATGGGAGGGTGGAGGGGAAAGTTCAGTTTACATATTCTGCCATTTTGCAACTCATCCCACGAGTAGAAAGAGGGTAATGGTATTTATGATACATCTCCTGAGGCACATTTTTTTACTTTTCAAGACCAGTCTTAGTGTGCAGATAAGTTACTCCTCCATTGTCATAAATGCAGAGGAGAAAGAAGCATGACTCTTACCGTATGAGAGCGAGCCTGTCTTTTTCAGATGGATGATCATCGAGCCACTGGGAGTAACGGGCAATGGACCACTCAGCCCTCTGATACAGAGAAACACAAACACCAATTACACCCAAATGTGAAAAAGGAAACAGATACACCCATTTCAGAATCAAAGATGACATAAACGAAGGCCACATGAGGTTCTCTTAATACTGCAGTGATGCAGAATGAGTTAAGGAATCAGAGACAATTAACAGAAATAGCCCAGTATGTTATCTGGGAGCTCAGAGGTGATCTCCTACATCAGTTGATGGCCCATTTCTGACAGGGGTTTTTATCTAGATTTCCTGCATCTTACACGAGTAGGAACTGGGCAATCTGCAGTCTGGGAAAAGATCTGCAATTTCTTCTATGAGCTGACAGAACAGTAAAGAATTGAGAGTATATTTAATATCAGGTTAACATATTCCTATTGTTAATAATCAAAATATTAAGTCAATGACCATAACGCATTTGCTACAATAAAAACAAATGCCCACAAATCATATAAAATATGGACTTGAATAATTTTTAACTAAAGCAGCTAGGGTAAACTACAATGCTCATTTCTCCTTAGGGCATCTGAAAAGGAAAGACAGGTTGATCCTATTACCTGGAAGGGTGATTTTAACTCTGGTGGTGCTCTTGTAAATAAGAACTGAAGAATAATGCTGAATGGAATAACCTCTCCCAGAGCTGGGCTACTGGCAATATGCTCACTGGTCTGGAACAGCAGTGGTCTGGAAAAATGTAACAATGTACTTGTGAAAGGAAGAAAAAGCTTATTTTATGCACTAGAAAAATGCCTCTATGTCGTGGCAATATTGCATTAGAATTGAATAATCTAATTTTTTGCCACTACTTTGCATCTTAGGTTTCCAACACAGGTCCAGTTTGCAAAAATTTACAGCAGTTGCCTACTGTAATTAATCAACACAGGACTATAAATTTTATATTTCAGGGAAAACATTTAAGGTAACTATAGAACTCACTGTCATACAGAAGATGTACTGAAAGCAACACAAAAAAGTACAATTTGGCCAACATTTACATGACAAAGATTGTTAAATCATAGTTATACTCTGCATAAAATTTAAAAAAGAACTTTAATCTATTTCTAATTTGCAGGTGGGTGTTGCCAAAAAAGCTCTCAGTTCAGTCAGAACTAACACGAGGTAATAAATCAGTTCAGAAATGCAGTTTAGTCATACTGCGACTGCAACTCACCTGAACGACCTCAGCTGTCTGTAAGACTTTCCCAGGTCAGAGACTCGCCGACACAGCGGCGCTACTGCTAACTCCATCTGCAAAAACAAACATTTCAATTTTAATTAGATTCTCCCAAAACATAAAACTTGTTGCTGAAGTAGCCTTGCCTTTAACCAATAATCCAAACTTGCAGACCAAGTCAGTGACTTCTTCCTGGTGGCTGAATTAAGACAAGGAGCTCTTTTCCTTTCAATACTACGTTGTGAAAACCAAGACTTTTGCCTTATTCTTGGCAACACAGGAAGCATTTAATGAAAAATGACAGTGTCAGTCTGTGGATGAGAACAGAAAGGGTCTCAGGAGCTTTCTGAGACTGAAGCTTTGTTTCTTGCAGCAGGTATATTTTGTTGGTGATGAGTTTCCTGATGAAGTACTTATGTCAATACCCCAAATATCTGACCACAGCTGTGGGAAGAAAGCAAATCTAGGCAGGTCTCCACAAACCAGTGCTAAAGCAGTGGAACTGCAGACCCATTTCAGCTGGGCACCCTTTCCTTTGGTGATGGACAAGGTTAAAATGATTCCTTCTTGAAGGAAATTGAAGAAGGCCCCAAATTTTGGGGCACAAAGCCTACACAGATTAAATAGAAGGCAGCTGGGACCTATTGCCACAGGGTCGTATGGAAAGAATAACAGCATTATTTTCATACTTATTTTCATATTGTTTGGTTTCTGAGTTACAGCAGCCATCTTTAAAAACAAATAAGGTTAAAACACTTCCTGTTTTTTAAGCACTGGAGTTCTCCTGCTCTTTTGAACAAGAGCCAGGCTCTGCTTGGGTTTTACATCTAAATTCTGTCACAGGCTCTTCATTAACAGTGAAGACACAGAAGTGAGAAAGAACAACTTCCCTTCTGGATCCCAGACTGAACATAACGATTACACAGCAAAATTTCAGTTAATGTGCACACCAATAAAAACAACCCCACTCAAAAAAACCGACAGGTAATTTTAGTCAGGTATGGATTAAGTCTTTATTTTTTGCATTCCTTAAGTGTCAGGCAAGTGAGGGATCAAGCTTTATGCTCCACGTACGTTTTTTAAAAACCCCAACTTGAAAGACTATTCAGTCTTTGATTTACACATAATGCACAATTAAACTAAGTTTCAAAGGATGACAGCTAAAATAAGTAACAAGATCAAAACCACTGTACAATGAGTTTCCCATTTAAGTAATATTCCTGAACGAGTTTCAAAGTGTTTGTGCTATGACACTATTTACAGTGAAGTCTTTAATACTACTATATTATTCTTTCCAGCTGCCGAATTTCCTCAGAGCTGCTTGCTGGGCCACCGGCCTTCACCAAGAGCATCTTGGGGTTCCAGCATAAACAAGGAGACACACTGTAGTGAACTGTGATGCCATAGTTCATCTAAACCCAGAAAAAATTAAATTAGCAATTAATGCAAATCAAGGCCATATATTTCAGGCACCCATATCGAAAAGCAGGTGGCAGGATGGGAGTCATCTCACCTACTTCTCAATATCTACAGGTTCTTTTCATACTCAGTGGAGAGGAATAGCCACTCATGTGGGGTGATGTACCTGTTCACAAGGTGGACACCTAAAAAAGGTCAGGTGGTTCATGTTGTAGGAGTATCCACCTACACAAAATTCAGTCAGACAAAGCTGGGAAACCCAGGCACCTCAGCTTCCTCTGCAGACTTGGAGAGGTTGGTGCCTTTGGAAGGCAATGGGGAATGTCCCAGAGAGCTATCCCAGGGGCTGTGCACAGCCACTGCCTGAGCCCAGAGCCCTCGGAGTACATGACCCTCATCAAGCACTTCCAGGACACTTGAAATCTGCAGGAACTCAAAGGAGCAGAAAGTGAATAAAAATCCAGGAAGCAGGAGTAAGGTTCCAGCCCTGGGTAACAGTCCAGCTTCCTCCTGCCTGCTGCCCTCCTGGTCCCTAGATCTTTAGGCTATGAACAGGCCTCTCTTCTAAAGCCATCTGGGAACCCTGACCCATCCCCTCAGAGCCTCCAGGTGCAAGGTACCCATTCCTTGGGCTGCAGAGCACATACAACCCAGTTCTGCAGCTCCTGAGCAGGCACGCTGTCCACCAGACTGTGCCCAAGTTAGGCAGGGGAGAAGTCAACATTCCTGTGCCTGAGAAGCCAACAGGTCCTGTGCCGTGCACTGAATCCAAGGGAGCGAAGCAGAAGGCATAAACACAGGAAAGGCAGGTTCTTCCTGGGGATTGCTGCAGGGAGGTGCTCCAACTCCAGACTGCCATGAAGCTTACAAGTTAAGCATGTTGCTCCCCTAGGTCCCCCAGGACATTTCTGAGCATAAATGGGAGCCACGAGGCCGGTCTGCCACACAGAATCGGGAGGAGATAATCAGGGAGCCAAAAGGAGGAGATAATTAAGTATGCTTTGCTGCATCATGATACAAGAACCCTACAGACCCTGAAAACCAAATGGGAGTGAGACTGTGATTTCTCCAGAGCTTCTTTTCAGGCGTCAGTATTGGCCTGGGGGCAGCTGGAAGTAACTGATATCCTGCAGGAGCTGGTGTCCCAGCTCCGGTGGGAGCTGTGGGCTTGTAGCTGTGAGGGACCAGGGAGAACACAATTCCTTTAGGTTCTTTAAAGACTCTGATAACAGGCAACAAACTGCCAGTCTGACTTGTGGAAACAGAGACGCATGGATCAAACTGTACTCATGAGGGGAAGAAACAGCAGCACAGCAAAAATATAATTTTGCTTAATAAGTTTTAAACGATTGTTTCACTTCTGAAACATAATATGAAGCAATGAGGTCTAAGTGAAACTTTCTATAGTTTAACCAATTCCTTATTAAAACAAATTTAAATGAGTTCTCTTGAATATATTTTGCTTTTTTTTATAAATCAACATTTTTAGTCTTAAGTACTAAAGAAGAAAATTTACCTTGGAAAATTCTATTACTTCATCTTCAACCTTTATTAACTGTAGGAAATTATTAGCACTGCTAGAACTAGATAGATTTAATGGCAGCAGATGGTTGATTCGTGAAGTACTAGCTGCCAAAGAAAAATATTGTTTTTAAGCTTTGCCACATACTATACTATCTCAAATTGACTCATGAAGAGTGGGAATGAGCAAAAACTAACGTGGTAAAAATGTACAGAAACCACAGAAACTCATTCTTTAATTTACAATACTAGTCTGCTACGTGTTATAACCCAATTCCTCCAATAAAAAGTATAATACACATAATAACTGAGATTGTTTTCTTCTCTTTCATTTTAAGTATTTGTCTGAGCAAGCGATGCAGTGAGATGCTACAGCATCCTTCTGCTGTTACATTCATTTCTGCAGGCCGAGGAGCGGGGTTTTGTGTCTCTGCTGAGCATCATGCCAGCGATGGCAGCAAGTGCTGGGGAGGAACCACTCGGCTGGAACAGCTGCTGTTTTTAAGGTGCTGGAATCGGGCGGCGGATTGAGCGTACTTCACTTCTGGGTTTTGCTACCTGTCATCACCTGAAATGGCATCAACTGTTGATTCATGCAACATGTTTGTACTGCAGCAGCTCTTGCTATGATACACAGCTCTAGTTTGCAAAGCATGTTGGTGAGCTTTTACAGGTTGGGTGATGGTTTTGGCTGTCGGTAAGCCACTACTTGCATTATGTGTGTAAGGCCTTTCACACAGCCATGACCTGTGGAATTTACATATAAAAGGGTAAAGCAGTATTTTTTTGTTTCTTTTCCAAATTTCCCTTCCAAAACTGCAAATTTGAAAATTCAGATATCCAGGTTAAATTCAGTGATAAATTGGGTGTCCAAGCAGTAATTTGCAACCGCAGAGGCTTGATGTGAGATAATCATTAACACAGGATCCAAGGGAAGCAGTAGGAGATGTACACACTTGCCAAAAGGAAGCAGCAGATAGAACAGAAGAAGGCCTACAGACTCATTTCTTCTAACTTTGTTCAAAACCCATTTCTTTTATTCACGTTACTTTGCTATGCTTTGCAGAACACAGTGGCAGACTCCTGCCTAGCATATGCTTCCTCTCAATGGCTCTTGCTCTCTAAGCCCAAAAAGGCTATATTATCTTCTCTTTTCACATGACCCTGCCATAGCCCATGGCTAGGTGGTCAATTATCTGTTGAACTATTCACTGGATGGCCATATTGTAAAAAATACATCACATGCCTGGCTTCTCTAATTGGATTATGTTCAGCAACTCAAGGGTGAAGTTAATACACAGTCTAGATACAGATAATGCATATATATTGAAGAGTGCTTTGAAAAACCTCATAGTGAAGTTATTGTTTAGAGCCTATTGTATTTTCAAGATCTCTCATTACTAAACAGCTGTTTTTTCAGCTGGAAAATCTTAACATTAAATTTTTAGCAATTGCATTTCCTCCTGGCCAAGATGAATTCCAAGTTTTTAAATGTTAACTCAAAATGCTTTTTTCTAGCCATTCAACAGAACAGAATGCTTTAACAAGCAAGGGAGCAGAAGAGCCCTGAACTATTATATGAAAGAAGCTGGCCTTGAAGGGAAGTGGAATTTGATTTCTCCCCAGTGCAGCAATTCCAAAACGGTTGATGCTTAAGTAAATCCTTCAGCTGTAACACCTCTAAAACAACAAACAACAGAAAGTAATTCCCTCTTTCCAGGAAGATAATTAGCATTAAACATTAAATGCATTTTAGGTTTAGTAGTTTCTGTCCTTATGACTACAACTGTGATTACAGCATCCTGCTGCTTTCACTTCTCTATAAGAAACTAAAAAGGAAAATTTATGAAAAATGAGAAAAAGCACTTTTATACTTTTATCATCATGTTTGATCAAATGAGCGACTCTGTTTACATTTTTTAAAACCCAAATGTCTAATATTCTTGATACTTTTTAATGCCACATATTGAATCAGGAAACCACATTCTGACCATAGGCTAACCAGCAGATAGAAACATTTCTTCTACACTAGAATTTAGCATTGTCAAATTCTACCACAAAAACATTTTTCGAGGAAAATTCAATAAACATCAAACATTTTGCAGTAATTTTTTGAGAAAGGCTTGAAGAATTGGTGGCAGTGCTAACTATATCCCACCAAAACTGGTTGAACACAGTACTTGAACAATGCCAAAAAAAACCAACTGTAAATCACACCTAGATAAGAAACACTGGAAAGCATAAGCAGAAAAGTATTACCTCAAAAAGGACCAATAAAAATAGTTCACTATACAAGGCTGAAAATAATCAGTCATGACATGAGACGGGGTTCTTGGCGCAGACAGTGGCTCCTGCCTTATATGTCGCTCCAAAATAGATGGGAAATCATGTCATGCCTTCATGCCATGAAGCATAATGATTAATTTGTCTTTGCAATTACTAGACTATTTTATTTCAATGCAGTTGTGATTTGTATTTGCTAGTAATAAACAGCTATTTTCCTGTATCAGCTTACAAACTCTGTATAACAGATGACTAATTTCCATGCCAAATATTACTGTAGATTCCTCACTTCTTCTAAATAAATTCCTCAACTGACTGTGCTTATACTTCATTCTTTGCTGCATTGTCCAGCACTTCCACTGGGTTTTAGGAAGGCCTGAACTACAAGCCACAAGCCCAGAGTATGCCTAAGTGCTGCAACAACTCTGAATACCAAGCAAGTTAGAAGGTCCTCTGGGAAAGAACTGGTACTTCCCAGAAACAGAAATGTTGAAAACCATCAGGGCTTGCTGGCTTGCTTGCCTCCAGGAGAATATTTGTTTCAGTCTGACTAGTAGTGAATTAAAAAGTGAAATTTGGCATTAAATATGTGAATACTGAATTCTAGTCACCTTAACAATACAAAACCAAATAAAGCAAACTGATTCAGGAACACAGAGGGGTGAACCAAAAAGTAATCTTGTGCAACAGCCTGCATAAAAACTGAGAGCATGTAAAGAGGTGAACTCAGCCTGTCGACTGGAAATATTTCAAACAAGGCTCCCAAGGAACTGTAGCACTGTACACGATAAAAACCTTGCAGTGCTGCACACATTTCAAGCACTCATTTACATGAAATCATATTCATGATATTCAGGCATAGTTCAAGCCTATCATAGCTGTGTTTACAGCTGCCACACTAGCACACACCTAGTCTCACTGCTCAAAACTCTGTAATGCACAGGACAGCCAAATGCAATACTGCCACTGGAAACAGGGTAAGACAGAATTCAACAGAGCTACAGCAGTAAGTCCTAAGTAGCTGAGGCTCCCTGAAGAAAACTGGCTGTTATGCACCTCACCAAGCCCAGTTCTGAATGAAGAGAACTTGAAATCTGTTTTCTCCCTTCTGTGTAGACACCTGTTCTTTTGAGGCAATTTATCAGTAAAACACATTTCCAGTGCAAAAATTTTCAAATCTGACTCTTAGCTAAAGCTGTTCTGCTGAGTATAAGGCAGCTGTAACTCTGAGAGCCCTGAAAGAAACATGCAAAAGCACACGAGATACCCACAATCTGATGCAATCCAAGATTATGTGACTTACTTCATGTATGTTAGTAAGAGAACCTCAAACTAATCAAAAATTCTGGACAGATTTCTGCCCAGGTCTTTTGTTTCCAAGCAACCCCAAGTACCAAAAGGGTTTTAGATCTCAAAAGTTAGTTCTGAGCAGGAACATGTAACCCTTTTTGAGCAGAGAAAATTCAAAATAACTCTACAAGACAGAATAAAAGTTAAAACAGTTTATAAACAAACCACGGCCTTCACACAGTGCCTTTCCAGGCAGGTCCTTCCCTCTGGGTTCCTCTGGAAATGACAAGAGCCCTGCACACACCCTTTACGGCCATTTGGGAAAATTTATACTGCCCATCAAGCCAGCAGCCCAGCTAAATACCTGCTCTCTGCTCTCCTCAGCCCAGAGCAGCAGCAACCTCCCCTAGTCCTGATCAGCATTACAGCTGCATTCAGGCAAATGTGCCCACAACTCCTGTCTGGGTCAGAGCAACAACCTTCCTGGGGGGCTGCCAGGAGCTGGTGTCATGGGCCCGTGCCCAGAACCCACCATTCTTCTGGGAGGAGCACACGCACCACAGCAAACATGGATATAAGGCAGCTTCCACATGCAAAATGTTTCAGTCCTTTTTCTGTTATGCCAAGCAACAGGATACAGTGCCCAGGCCATTCTGAACACGACAGCCCCTGTGCAGCCTGGCACACCCTGAGGAGCTCTGTGCAGAGAGGTTCAAGGGTGCAGAGCGAGCACTGAGCTGGCTGTATGGGGCTGGTTGGACACAGACATATTTCTTGTCTTAAGCCCATTTTTAAACAGGCCAAGAATATGGTGCCATGTGAAGATAAGAAAAACACAAAGCAGCCTCCAGATGAAGCAACAGTTGAAGGCAGGAGACAAGAATGAATTCAAACCCTTTTTTTTTTTTTTTGATTCCATGGTACAAAAGAAATCACATCTTTACACAGTTGTCCATCCAGGAGTTATACTCAGCACAGTGGAGAAGACCACGCAAATTTGTCTACATTCAGATGAAAACATACCTTTGCTTTTCACTTAAAAGGTAGCCTATCTCAGAACGAGAAAAATCAATGTTTAAAAAATGATAAACAAGCAATATTTTTAGATTATAACAGCTGCTTAGATCAGATGCTCTTACTGTAGAACCAGGGGAAGATATTTCCCAAATTTATATGACTTACTTTAGTTAAATTAGTATAAGTAGCATAAATTACAAAAATTATCTCTATTCCTTCCACACGAAAAGTCAAGCGTCCTTGTTTTTTCTTCCAATTTTATGCCATTGTCTTCAAAACAGAGAAGAGAATGGAACCTTCTCACTGAAAGCAATTGAGAACTTCCCCTTAATTTCTCTGGTTAAAGCCTGATTTGCTACGTTTGAGTAATGAATAAAAAGATTTTACTCCGGAGCGTGTAACTCACAGGCAAATGACACAAAGAAGCCACAAGCAAGAGTGGAGGTGGCAGCAATTTTTCCCTCCCTGCCTTCCTCTCCTACCTCACTTACCTACCAGCCAAAAGCAGCACTCAGTATGCAGACAGCTGATGCTAATTCCCTTTTCCATTTGGATAATAATAACCGGCACCCTCGGCTTAATCTAGTGGATGCCTGATTCTCTGGCAAGTTAACCACGCAGCGTTACTAATTAAAGTTTAATACAGCAGATAACACAGACAGGGAGTGGATACGAATCTGGCAATTTCTTTTGCGTTTTAGTCCAGTGTAGGAGTTAGGTAAAGCTGAGAGGCAGGTAAGTCCATCGGATCATGAAGAGAATTCCACAAGAAAACTGCCCTTCTGTTCTTCCCCAGGTATTTCTTTAGCTTGTCTCCTTCACTGCAAAGCAGCTGGGTTAGCCATTAACCACTGTGGGCACTGTGATATATGGAGCGATTAAGAAAGTGACACACCATTCCATTCCAAGAGAGAGAAAGGATGAAGGAAATGAATGGTGGCAAATGATGGACGTGCCGAAGAGGTCAGCCAAGTGGGACAGAATGTCAAGATGCAGCTGAATTTAAACACAACAGTCACTTGACAGGAAGCTGTCAGATCTCCCTGAATGTGCCTTACGGTGATGGGAGATCTTCAATTACTTGGTGGATGCATTTATCAGGATCCAGTATACTATCAGAGAGCATGTTTATACCTGGAATGCACCAATCTCTACAACTGCCTGTTTATACTCTGATGGGGGCAAAAGTATTGACACTTTTCTGTGAAATCAGTGAAGTAACACTAAAAAGCAGAAATCAGTACTGAGAGTACCTGTGCAAAATCCGCTGCAACCCTCATCTTTCCACCTTCACCGAGGGGCCTTATTAGACTGGCATGGCGAATGAAAAGTTCAATTGCTCTTTGAGCCATGGCTTCAGTGTTATCAAAGACAAAGTCAAAACACTCAAAATGTCTGAAGTAGTCGCTCATGACTCTGGCTATAAAACCCTGTAGCTCTTTCATGTAGAGAGAACAGGGGACATCTGGTTTTCCTGAGCCGGATAATGATCTGGAAAAAAAAAAAAAAAAAAAAGAAAAAAAAAAGAAATAGGAGCAGCTAAATTCATCTTTAAAACACAGCCAAAACTTACTGGATTCTTTTTAATTTTATTCCCATCCCATGCAGTGATGGCATGAATTAGAGTCTCATTTCTACTTAGCATAAGGAGCATATAGCTCTCTCTGACACCATAGTTAAAAAATATCTCTTTATCAGCCATTCTCATCCTAATGAGATAAAGGAAATCCCCCCAACTCCTACTCAACTTGCAGAGCTTCCATCAGTTTAGAGCCTAAACCCCAAATCCAGCCCCTAAATTTAAACGTCCCAGTTGTTGATTTGAAACTCTAATAATGGATCATAAAATACAAACACGTGTCACAGGGTTACCAGTTTAGCCTATCCCAAACCTGTTATCTGTGTAGAATTAGTTTCCTAGATTCCCCCAAACACAGGATTATAAAGTCAGTATCACAGAAGCAGCACAGAAACCCCTGGACACAAATCAATCCCTTTTCTGTTTCTTTGACTCACAGTCAGGCAAAAGAGCTCTTCCAAACTCAGGAAGCTGAACGTACAGGCTATCTAACAAAACACAGCCTTTGGCTGGAAACAGTTTATCCACCTAGAGAGCATTTTGCTACTGGTGCCAAAAGAAAGATGGTGAGAATAAAATATTGTTTAAAAAAAAAAAAAGTCAAAAGGAAAATTCGAAACACCTTTGAAAATATACTATTTTCAGTGAATTTTCAAGACAGAAAACAGGACAACTAATGACAATATAAGCAATGCCAGAACACAAATGACAACCAAAACAAAATTCAAGAAGGAAGTCTGAATATAGATAAGACTCAAGATTCTTTACACATAAAGAATACTGGAAAGTTTAATGAAAATGCTATGGGAAAATAGCATAACAGACTAAATTTGAGATTTAAATTAAAAAAAATCAAAATTAACTATTTCATCAGAGGCTATTTGCTTTGAGAAGCAGGAGTACTGACAATTCTCAAGACTGTCCACCAACAATACATTTTGAAAGCAAAAGGCACTTTTTAAGCATAAAAATGGCCTCTGCTTGCCTTTCTTTTTCTATTTAAAATGAATTTTACTCAACAGATATGAAAGAAAAAGGGGGAGGGGGGAAGAAGACAGGCACTACCTGATTAATTTGTTTCAATGGGTAGGTGTAATTCTGCTTTCTCTGTTCACTGACCATAAAGCATCACCTTCCTCTCAACAAACAAGCACTCTTGCTTCAAGGACATTGTGGCAATAACAATCTATTAAGCATATGCAGGATATCTTACTAGAGCAATGGTAAATTTAAGAGATATTTCTAGTTACCCAGAAAAATCTTCCTGGTGCATAGTGATGATAATAGCTTCCACTGAATCTCCTACTGAGTTCAGTAACGGCTGAACAGCACTACCCATTAGATCATGGACTGCCTAAAATAGAAAAAGAAAAAGGCACAAGTAAGGAAACCAAAACTAGGAGCATTTGCATTTTGACACCTCAAAAATACACTGAGAAACAGTTAATTTTATCAGTTCTTTTTATTATTCTGCATTAGAAAATGCTAAATAGAAGGACCGAAGCCTAAGATAACATTTCTCTTTAATTGATTTTACCAGTGAAGTGCAGAAATGAAGCTGTTTGCTACTTCTGTGTAAAGCCTTCCTTCAAAAAGGTGCACAACAACTTGGCATTCTCCTGATTTGGCATACAGATTTTGGTGGACACACTTGATTCAGCTGTTAATTCCCCAGACACAAGCTGCCCTTCATTCCCCTGCACACAACCTCTCCCAGGTCAGTGGCCAGCAGGATGGGTGTGGAGAGCTGTCATCCACAGAGGCTGCACCGCCACCCGCACCCCCCTCCAGGAAGGCACCAGGTAGCATAAAAATCATAATTTGATGTATCTGTCAGGGGGAGGAAGGAGGTGATGAAGGATCCAGCAATTGCTGTGTGAATGCTGCAGAGAGAAACATTTCTTTTCACAGTCAAGATGACATCTGTGTTCTGACCGTTACGAGAATATTCTGAACACAAACAGTGCTCAAGCAGTGATTTGGCATATGCAACATATATGTAGCTGCAGATACAACAAATTAGAAATGTCAGAATATTTGTACACCTGTTACTAAATATACTGACACAAAATAATATGTGGGAAGTAAGTGCCCGTTTTAAATGTAAAAACAAAGCAAAGCTCACCCCTATCCCTGCAGCATATGGACATTCAATTACCTTTAAGGCAGTTGTGACTGTTTGCTCAGCAGCTGCTGGAAATGAGCTCTGATTGGTAATGACCTAAAAATTGTAAAGTAATTATTAATAGCATTCAACAAATTCTTAGAATCCATTATATTCAACTTCATTGCAAAACATACAAGTTATCCCTAGTAATGAGTGGTTTACATAGGTAGAGATAACTCTCAAATATGTTTTATACAGACAGAATTTTCAACGCACCAGTATCACTCCTTCGCTCTCAAATCTCCTATCAACTCTGCTTCTGCCTTGGCAAGGAAGTGATTCAATGGAGTTAAGCTGAAATTTAGCTGAAGGGCTAACAGAATCAGAATAAAAATAACTGGTGTATTCTCCCCCTGCTAAGTATAGAATTCATGGAGGACTATACAAGCATCTCTGTGGCACATAATTGAAAGAATGGTTGTTATTTCTCAGTATTATGACTATTATACTACTAATTGTAAATAACTGTTTATGTACAGCTACAAAAATATCAGAATTGAAAGTCAAGGAATGATCTGAAGAAATATTCTACCAATTTTCTTACAGTTATGAACACGCTATACAATAGTATTTTTAAGCCAGATAAGTACTGAACTCAAAGACTGAATCATATCAGATCTCCCTCCAACACTAAGACACATGAGGTTCATTACTAAATACATCAGAGAAAGCAGACTTAAAAGTTGATCTACCATCTGTTTGCAAAATCCAAGCAAATTTTATGGGCTTTTTAGCATTTTTTAACATTCTTTAAACATATCCAGAGTCAGGAGTACTCATGATCTTTTTTCTAATCAGGCTAGAATTCAAACACAATTAACTGCAACTATCAATATATCTGTTTATTTTAGTTTACAAAGACTGTGTACGCAGTGGCATCACTAAGCCAGTAAACTGGAATTATTCATAACTGTGCTTAGTCCTGAAAAATTTCCAGGCTAGACTTTGGTCACAGTAATAATGTACAGAGATAGCTGTGAGGTGTTGGTTTTCTTGATTTCACCCTTTTCTTCAACTCTTCAGTTCAGCCACAACTATGGGAAAGCAATGAGGGTCTTCTGAAAAATACAACCTTGGGCTGACAGATGCAGACAAGGGCTATCAGGCTGACCAGTACAGAGACAAGAAAAAACATAAAGAGTTCAATTGTTTATACTCACAAAGTAATGGCTGTGAGACACGATTATTCTCTATAAACACATCTTTCACTCTTCTAATATTGACAATTTGTCACACACAGCAGTGACTACCAGGGCCAGCCAAGTCTCAAAGATTTGTACAAATGCATAGCAAAGTGCAGCTCTTAACCCAGAAATGGGCAGTTTCTGTCAGAGCTTTCACCAGCTATTAGAAGAATATGCACATGATACAGCAAAGACGGTAACACAACAGCAGGAAGAGGAATGCCAAAAGAAGCCTACCTTCAGAACAGACTGGTGCAGTTTGTACAGCGAATTAACTACAGCCACGTTCCTCCTCTGTCCCTCTGTGAGTGGCCCAATCACCTGGCTGGCATCTCCTTGAGTAGACAGCTGCAGTGATCACAGAAATTGTTACTAACAACTCTTTAAACAGTGCATCACCCCAGACTGAACTTAGACCACAGCAGAAAGCCATAGGTCTTCAGTACCCAATGTTCTTCCATTTTACTCTTGAGTAGATTCATAGGATTTCCACCTCCACATAAAAGAAACTGAACAACAGCAACAGGAGCCATGAGAGACTGTCTGAGCTCCCAAACCACAGCACTGAGACCCAGACCTCCTGGTGATACCTAGTCTCAGCATAACTTCAACTTTGTGACCTAAGAGTCAGGTGAAATCACCTACCTGAGGACACATGATAAACTAGTAGCAGCTTCTCTGTATAATAGTGTACACTTTTCTTTATATCCTCAGTGTGTCCTTCTGAAAACCTTTCAAACCTCTCCTTAAAAGCTCTGTTTTTTCAAATAGATGGCTTAGAACTTTGTACACATTAGAGGCTTGTAAGTCAACAGAAAAATAGAACTGCAAGCACCAAAACTGCCAGATCTATCATTAAACAGTTCTATCCATGAATCTTTCAGTAAAAATAAAGAAATTATTTCTTCATATTTAAACCGCTCAAAGCACGCATTTTTTATCATTACCACAGAAATCAAAGTTCCAGGATGATACATAAATAGCCATTAACTATGGAACATTCCCATAAGGATACCACAGCATATATTTATAACTTAAAACATGATAAATCGTAACTGGGAAACAAATGGAAATTTTCTTGTGCACTGAAAGCTGCAGAAATACAAAGAATTGACAAAAGGTTATATGAATTCTAGAAGTACATCTAAACATTTAAAGCAAGAATAGCTATTAATAGAAGGCTTTAGTGAGATATAATTATCTGACTATTTATATATATTTCAGGACACAGAATTATTCTCCAGGAAACCTGTGAGATGCCTAGTTCCAAAAATCCCTCAGTAAGAATATGTCCAACTTACTGAACAAGCAGTCAAGAGACTTTTATGGAGTGTGTGTTTAAACACAGTTGTAGGTCCTACAGAAAGCTCCTAAACTGAAACTGAATATAAAATAATAATTGTTCAAGAACAAAATAAACAGACATAATAGGAAAATTTTTAAGTTATGGGAAACAGTGAATCTTTACTAGTGAAAGACTATTCCTGTACTTCCCATATCTTCTACACAGCATAAACACAGACACCATACAGGCACAGTTACCTAGTATTTCCCAGCACTGCTAATAATGGAGATTTAGACAAGTTCTTGCAAGCACAGAGGAACTTGAATTTATTCACAATGCTATGGTGACAATATCAGTTTGTTCCCTCTCTTCAAATTCATAGATTATTTCAGGATAAATAGGTTTCTGAGGCCTTTGCAAAGGGAAAGATCTTTTCCAATGTATCTTCAATTATTTGACATCGAAGTGTATCTTTAAACAAGCTGACAAATACATCGTTGTCTCAGCATCTTCCTTCCCTCCTGATGAGCACAGCCATGTGAGCTATGAACACCCCTCTTTCCTCCCATATATTTCTGTTTGACAGACCTGACTTGTTTTGAGAATTCTGCTTCTCACACTCACAGCTTCACAGATTAATAACAAAACAGCCGTGCAAAGAAAGACCTGTCCACCCAGCTGACCACCCTCTCAGACATAAATAACCTTTTTTTCCCACACCTTCAAGTACTGTACAGGCTACTTGAGCTTTTTGCACTTTATAACTATTAAACATAAAAGATGCTACTAAACTGTCAAAATTTTACATCCCAGTTACACTTAAATTTCAGTTCCTCAGACTTTATGGTAAAGAAATTTCTTTTCTTAGACATTAGGCTATGTCTCTTCTGCTGGTGAAGAAGCTTAACTGGTAAGTAAAACCATTAACAAGTACAAACGTAATCCTTCTGCAGTAACAAGAAACTCTTCAAGTCAGCAACAGGGCACAGCAGCTTCACAGGCAAAATCTAAAAATGCCTTAAAACCAATCGATCCTTCTAAAACTGTTTACCATATTAAATTTCCTTAAACCAATCAACTTGAACTTTGTCAGTTAAGATGTGCTGAACCCTTAAAAGTACTGGTATAAAGCCAAGAGGACTGAAAAACTCTACCCTTGTAGAGTGGGAACTGGGCAGCCCAGGGCTCCTTAGGACCGCTTCTCCTGAAGGTGTGGCATGGGAACACCTGGCACTTAAATGGGTAGCTGTGTCCTGCCACCACAGGAACAGCTGGCACCTACATGGGGTAGGTGTACCCTACCATTTACAGGAGAAGTCTCTCTTGCTGTCACCACGAAGACCTTGCCTCAAAGCAAGAAGGTCTGCACTCTGTCCAGTATGGTTCACGTACATGCTCTTTGTCACTGGTATGAATCTCTATTTCAGATAGTTTATCATTACTCCAGTATTCTAATGTCTCAGACTGAATTCTTGACACATCTGATACCCACTGTACAATCATGCATCCAGTTAGGAAAAATGTCATCACTGTGTCTCCCTGGTTCCCACAAACCACACTTATGGCCAATTTACCATAGTCACAAACCATCCCTCAGCTTACTTTCCATCATACCAGGTTTTATCAATGATTCACATTCATCACTCTCTTTTATATAGAAAGTACTTTTAAAATTCTGTGCTAGACACAGGTTATGCACTTAAACCTTGTGGTAATTTAACTCTTCCTCTGTTATCTGCCCACTGGGGATTGCACTGTGTAAATAGGTTCAGTCAAACAAGTGTGAAGCCTGGCAACATCCACTCAGCTGAAAGACAGAGTCCACAGGCCTTCTTTTCGATGACAAAATCTGATGCCTTTTTAATCAGTTGGTTACATCCTGAAATGCAGAAGGCCAGGAGGGTGAATTTATGCTCAACAGAAATAGGGAAGACAGAAGGAGTGACTTCATCCCAGATCAGAATCTATTTTGGGAAACGAGTAAAAGACAAAGCGCAGCTGAAGGCCAGAACTCATCTCCAGGGAGCTGTCAGTCACCCTGGGAGTTAGACTGGCTTAAGTCTGCTAGCTGAAAACGGGAAAAGAAGCTATGCTGAAGCCAGACTGGAATCAACAGTAACAATGACTGTAACTGTTTTACTCTGCCTTAAGTATAGCAATTGATTTTTTACGCTCTTCATTTTAGTTGGTTAAATTGTTTCTGCTTTTACCTCCAGCCTGTCCACTATTTACAGTAATTTCATGGGCAGTAGCAGAGCACTGACACCCATTCCCCAGAAAGCAGCAATTCTACAGTGGGTGATACATCAGTGTGGGCTTCCTTTGCCAACAGGAGCTACAATCACACTGCCAAACATGAGACGCTCATGAGGAAGAGAGGGGTGAGGCAGGGAAGTGTCCCACCAGCATATATTAGCCAGGACTTTTGTATCATGCATCCAGGCACTAGGACAAAGGCTGTGTCTTGTGGTGCCCTAAAAAATGTGAACATGAGCTTCTGTCCCACGCAGCATTTAAAGAAAACTCAAAGGGCAGCTGTTAAACTAAAATGAGAAAGAAACACTGGGAGATACTGTCTTTTTGACATGTATATGAGGGTGTTCTCTAAAGTAGGAGGTTGTAATTTGCAGGTTCAATCCAGCAGCTGACTAGCTGGAGGAAGCTGCACAGAAGAGTTTTTGGGTTGTTTTAAATCTAATTCAACATTACGTGAGGCCTGAGCAGTAGACTGAGATCAGGCAGTTCATTAAACAAAAAAGGACACCTGCAGAAGCCAATACACAAAGAATGTGTCATGAAGCAGAACAAGCTGACTTAAGGCCATCTTATTTGCTTCAGCCTGACATGGTGGAGAAACTGTAAGCCATGACTGGCACTGCGCTCTCACTGAATTCAGAAATCCTTCTGAAAAACAGTTTCTTTTAGTTTGTATCTTTCAATGCATCTACGTGGTTACACTGCTTCACCCGCAGAGACTGCAGGTGCCTCATCTTGGGTCAGTAAGTTGCCCAATGCAGAAAATTTCAGGAATGATTCACCTGACCACATGCAGTAAACCACTAAGCAAAGAAATAAGAACTTCTATTGAGTAATTCATCGTTTTAAAAACCCTGCTTTAGGGAGAGAGTAAATGCACCCTGTATGCACCTATTTTCCTTCACCAGCTATAAAGGGAATCTAAAGCAGTACCACAGATACACACAGGTAGCTACAGTGCCTGAAATCATGTCAGATGCATTCTCACCCTATAAATGTATTTGCACCCCATTGCATAGACCTACTTTGGAAATATATCTTGGAAATAATGAGATCAAGTGTTCTGGATTTTACGCTTTTCTATGTTTAATACTTAAGAACAGACATGAAATTTGACAGCATGGATTTGATCTCACATGTTGAGATGTGCTACGGTAAGATTGCTTTTGGATTAAAATCTTGTTTTCACCATGAAGCAATGAATGTAGAATTTAGATTAGGCCATTAATCAAATCACCAGTTCTCCCTAGGGTTATAAAAAATGCTAACCAAGTTTGTCTTTTTCTTGTAGAAAAGCTCAGAGTATTGATACATATTTTCCTGTAATTCATTTAATGCTTCAAAGTGACTAACACTCCCCTCTTTCAACAGGTGGAAGCTCAGAGGAGACACTGATTGTGAGCTGGTTTGCTACTACTCCCTTCACAGACTACACACTTAATGAAAAGGCTCAGTTTCACACTAAGTAACTAAGATCTTGTGTGCATCCTTACAAAAAGTTTTGGAAAGCTTAATTTATTTTATTTCTCTAAAACAGCCTTAGCAAATGCATTCTCTTTAGTGTGGGAAACAGCACCATAATTTAGGAGTATGGAGAAGACCCTAAAATGAGACTAAAACAACACTTTTCCACAGAGCATTCGATCTAACTCCAGGATCACAAGGTTAACATGTTTTGATAGCACAAACTGAACTATGATTGTCAAGCTGACACTGACAACAACAAATGCATTCCTAATAGAGGCAGCTGATATTGCCATACCTCTGGCAGAAGACAATCAATCCATCTGGTTCTTGGCCTCCTGCC